CAACAATTGTGTTTATATTTAAAAAATAAATTAATGGAGATAATTAAAATACTTGCCTGAAAATGCTCTTTGGTATATAATTTTCAAATGATAAAGAGTATTTTTAAACTTAAGTCAAGTCAGGGGTTGGGGAGAAAATTCAGCAGTTTCCCCATGCAATTAATGCTCATACTTCATTATATGTTGGTGCACAGATAGATGCTAAAGCCTTGGTAAGATACCAATCTTAAGCAATCACACTATTCCCAATCAAACAAAATGTTGCACAGTTAAAATGTTACGCTTCCTCCACACTGATCCCTGAAGTTGTACAAAGGCAAAATTTGGGAAAATGCCAGAGAAAAAATTATGATGCTAATTATAGGAGTTAACTTCTCTTGATTCAGATTTTCTTCCAGTATTTTCAAAAGGTACAGGGCTTTTGAGACACATGAATACAATCACTATGCAACAAATTGTGGAAGATGAATGCTTAAGATACTATAAATTGCAACCTGCCAGAAAGCAATTCTCTTTTCAGTCCCAATTTTAACCACCTTATTAAGTTCTGAGAACAAGTCCAAAAAAAACCTAAAATGCAAATGACCTCCCATTTCATTAACTAGCTGGCTATCGAGAAAATGAGTACTAATGAAGATGAGTTTTTTTTAAGGCAGAGGTTTGATTAAAACAATGATAACAAAATTTAAACTACTATAAAATCATTAACTTCCAGGAAATGATACAACTTTACTGAAATGATTTATTTCAGTCCCAAGTATCTGATGAGGTATTACCAAACTTCTACAAGGGGAAAATCGTGAACTCTATTAATTTTCTACTGCACGATTCCTACGTACTTGCCTAACATCAGCTCTGGATGAGCAGAGTGTTTTGTCATTATTGACCACCTGCTATTTAAACTTGAGAATTTTATTGTGAGCTTTGGTCACTCACACAGCTCACTGCTGAAGAACACTGCCCTGGGCTAAGTATGGCGGAGTCCTGGAGGCCTAGGGGGTTCAATGTCGGGTACTGTGCAGGTCAGTGGTTCAAATGGGCACTGGGAGAGAAAGTGGAAAGATTTACCGCCTCAGAAAACCAAAGGAGAGTTCAATTGTGTCCTACCTTGGCTGTGGGGAATCAACTTGGCAGTGGGGAAACTCGGCTTCAGTCCTGGGTTTGCAGTCACGAATTATAAAAGGCTTCCCTTCCACTTAATGTCAAAACAACCTCAAGAACAATTTTTTGAGAAATAAGTGAATATGGAAGTTTCATCTCCCATTAGGAAAAAAATATTACAGGAAAAAAATGCAACATAAGAACAAAAATAAAATAATCTTTTTTTTGAGGATCACTCTTCCCACCCTTGATTTATACTGTTCTAGTCACTATCATCTCTGGAGGATGAAGCTGAAGGATTTCAAAATCAATCTTGAAACCATTTATGAGCATCCCTTGAGCACCACAGATCATTAAAGATCTATCAATAATTTAAAAAGTATAGCTTCCATATTCTAGCCAGGCACTTATTATATTTGTACCCTTTTTCAGTCCTCAATACAAACCTATGAGGTAGGTAATAGTATTACCTTCAACTTACAATTGAGAAAATTAACGTTTATAGAAGCAAAATAAGCAGTTCAAGGTAAAAATGGTATTTAAATGGTACAAGAGACCATGGTCTGATTCCAGGGGGCATGCTAGTAAACATTTTATGTTACTTTGCACAAAATGCACAGGAATACCCCGGGTATCTATCTATATTGCTTGCAGTTTCTAAAAAAGAAATATTCAAAAGCAAAACATAATTCGTTACTGTGAAATATTAACCTTGGGGCTTAGCCTGAATTCAAGTAAACTTGAAACTGAATAGGAAACTTGATTCAAATGCATATTTTAATGCTTTTCAAAATAAGCATCAGTTTAAGAATAGTTTCTTACAGTTTTATTAATAGATATTAGATTAATCTGCAATTGATGAAGTTCTAAATTTTGATCAAAAAATTTAAAAATCAATCATGCCAAAAACAAATACGCAAGCAAATACTGTTCTCACACATTCTCTATAATTATAGTTCATCAATAGTTGTTTAGGCTAAGTTGAGAGTCCATTTTACCAGAAGAAAAGTAAAAATAAATCGTTGATTAGCTTTCTTATAAATTTATTTGTGTGCCGTTAAAACATGCTAGCGTATTTTTGCTACAATAGTAAGAAAAACTAAATATATCTGGAATCAAGTCCCATTATGTGAAAGTGAATTTAAAATATTGCTTTATGATAAATAGCTAAAAATGAAGATATTAGAAATGTAATGGTTAATCATGTTTATGCCTTCAAAATCAACAGTGAGAAATCAGATGGGTCAAATTTAAAACACATGAGATTCTAATATGAAAATGTATATAAAGAAATCATAAAAAAAAAGACATCATAATTTGAGTCCAAATATTTGGAACAACCAAAGCAACTACAATCTCCTTTGGAGTGCATCGCCATTTTTTTTTTCAAGCCTGAATAAGCAAATGGGTCAAACCAACGGACCTTAATAGTGGTGGAACTCTAAGACTGGAAAGAGACATTACAGATACTCCTCACAGCAATAGAATGAGTGCTTCACACAGTTAACAAGCTGCATCTGAAGAACAGCATTCTATTCTACCAGGAAAACAAAATGATTCCAGACTTTCCGCAGGCAATAGGAACTTGGCATGCAGAAAGCAAGTTCTTTCAAGGAAGCAAGCAAGAAAGGTTAAGGATTCACGCTAGTGTCATCAGAACCCTGATATTTATAGAACCCCAAATAGATAATTCTCCAGAATCTATTTTAAGGGGGGAAATTACTGTTTTATCTTTTTTT